CCTTTTTCTCCTCAAACGTCATTATGACATGAGGAACAAACAACAAAAACAATAACAAAATAGTCTCAATTTCATTTTCATAGACACCATGACACACAGAGGTTTGGTTCCTGGAAGGATACTGCAGTTGCTCCAGCGCCTGGTGGTTGATGCTGCTCATGCTGTTGTAGACAAACATGCTGCTCAGAAGCACAGCCAGGGCAAAGATCCATGAGTCGTTTTTTGAGTCACCCTAGAAAGTGCACAAAAGGGGACTGATGTGTCTATAATTTACTCACATGTTCAGTTGTTCATGCACTAGGTCAGTTTTACTATAACTGAACAGTAGGGTAAATAACATACACTGTGAAGACAGTGGTAAATTCAAACCTCATTTTTGGGTATTCACATTGACTCCTCTCAAGGTCTGAGTTCTTGAGCAATTAAAAGAAGTGAATGACACTGTACATGTGTGTCAAATGTTTAAAACAGTTCTCAGAACATAGAAGTATCAATGATAATTGGGTAATGATTTCTTTGCAACTTTCTCTTGACCATGAGCTTACTGATGACACAAATGCTACTGAATTAAATTCACCAACTTCTCATTGTGCATTTAAAAAATGCCAGATACTGCATTTAGTTTTGTGGATGTAAAGTTTCATAGGACAATCTCTGATCTCCAGCAATGACTTTTTGGAGGTACAAATACACATGGCAACATGTAAATGCATCCCAGGTGACCAACTCTGCCAGGAGTGCAACCCAATCTTATCTAATAAAGAGGGAATATGCAAATTGACCATCATGCCATAACCATCAAGATGGATGTGCCCACAGTGGAGGCCAAGTTCTGGTAACGAACCTTAACAAGCAATCAGCAGGGACCTGAGGCTGTGTCCCCCGTCTGGTGGGGCTTGACATGGCACTTCAGGCTGCGCCCCCAGCCCCAGCACGAGGCCGGGGGACCTCAGGCCATCCTCCATGCCTGGCACCAGGTCGGGGGACCTGAGGCCTCTCCCCTGCCTCAGCACTGGGCTGGGGGACCTGAAGCTGTGCCCCCCACGTGGTGGGGCTTGATGGGGACCTCAGGCTGTGCCCCCTGGCCTGGGCCAGGGGACCTCAAGGTGCTCCCCCTGGCCCTGGCTGGGGGACCTGAGGCAGCGCACCCCACCCTGTCACCAGGCCAGCGTACTGGGGGAACTGAGGCTCTACCCCCCACCTGGCAGGTCTTGACAGGGTTGGGGCCAGCTAGGTCTTGATCTCACCCAACGTGGGTGGGACTGACTGGGTCTGGGTCTCGTGTGATTTTGAGGTGCCTCAGGTATTCGGGGACTGGATTCTGGTTCCTTCAGCATGCCCCAGACTCTGACAGGAGGCAGGTTTTCATATACATTTTACTAATTTTCTTTCATCTCTGTCACTTCTATTATAGAGAAAGGGCGAATTGCAATATTAAAGTATTTCCTCTAATTCAGCAGTTCTCAAACTGTGGGTCATGACCCTTTGGGGGTCGAAATATCCTTTCACAGGGGGTGCCTAAATACATTCTGCATATCAAATATTTACATTACAATTCATAAACAGTAGCAAAATTACAGTTATGAAGTAGCAACAAAAATAATTTTATGGTTGGGGGTCACCACAACATGAAGAACTGTATTAAAGGGTCACAGCATTAGGAAGGTTGAGAACCACTGCTCTAACTAATTCCCTTTTAATGGGCATGAATTTTGTGCACCAGGCCACTAGTATTATAACATGAAAGGCAAAGGAGGAATGCAAACACAGAAAAATTACGCTGTGATTACAGGGCAAGAAGGAATTATGTCTGAATGAGATTCAATCCCATTAGTTGAAAGTACCAGGAATTTTCTTTAAAGAATGGACAGAATGTGGAATTGTGGAGAGAAAGAGACCATGTAGAAGCCAATCAGAATTGTTAAAAAGTGTGTTCATACAAAGGTACTACCTGTTATTTTATTTGATTGAAGTAGTGTTATGTATGTGGTAGGAATAGATGATGAGGCTGAACATAACATTCAGGGTAAATCATGAGTGACTATGAACTTGAATTGGATATTGCTAAAAACACTAGAGTTGCAAGGACAGCAAGTATTTCTGCTGCTATCAGTTGACAGTTATGTTTTGGCTCCTTTACAAATGTAATTAGCTAAAAACAAGAAGGTTTATATAAACCACAATCTGTTAGCAATCAGTAGACCATCTTGGGCTTATGCTGATGTGATTATTGAGTACTTTAAACCTGAATTATGCTAAGTGAAATAAGCCATTCAGAGAAAGAAAAGTGTCATATGATTTCACTCTTATGTGAAATCTAATGAACCAACAAGTAACATAGAGGCAGGCTCATAGAGAGCAGGCTGACAACTGTTGGAGGTGGATGTGGGGTTGGGGGCTGAAGCTAGATGTATTGAGAAAAAAAAAAAAGAAAGGCTTCATGTACAGGGGAACAGTTTGGTGAATGCTAGGGATAGGAGTGAATGCTAGGTGGGGGAAGTTGGTGGAGCATAAAGGAGGGATAAATGGTGATAGACAGAAATTTGATTTTGGGTGGCAAACACGCAATATAATATACAGATAATGTGTTGTATAATTTGGCTCCTGAAACCTGTATAATTCTGTTAACCAGTGTCACCCCAATAATTTCAATAAAAAAATCAATGTTCAAATTCAGAATTTAATTCCTGCCACTTCTCTTTTTGTAGTAAAGGAAGCCAAAGATCCACTGCTGGAACTTTAACTTTAGACTCTGGCTAATACAAATAAGGGCACAGATTGACACAACTAATACAGTAAATGCAGATTACCTAAAAATATCTCATTTACAATGCTTGTGGTGGGTCTAGCTTCTGAATTTATAGAAATCAGGTAGGAATTCATCTCTAAAGCTCAGATACCTGGCATAAAATGTTTTATTAATGTGACAAGTGTTTTTGGAGATTACATATGTTTATTTTACTGAAACCCCATTTTTATGTTACCTACACTCAAGACCATAAACCTCACACACCTTAAATATTGGAGTGCATTGATCTCATAATTATAACTTCTTCCAGGATGTTTTCTTATCCTGAATCCTGAATAAATATCCTTGTATCCATGGTACACTGTATTGATAACACTGTTTATTTCTTATCTTCCAACTAGGCTCTGGGCCTTTTCCTCAGTCATGCATATCTGTAGTACTTAACACAAAATCCTAGAATTTAGATGCCCAGTAAGTATTTGTTGTATTGTAACTTTCAACCAAGTATAAAAATAAGAAGTTAAAAGCCTAATAAAGAAAATATTGAATTTTCAAGAAACATAATTAAACCTCATTATTCTTAATTAGATTTGTAGTTTAAAGAAATAGGTCATAGAAGGTGAATTAAGGTGGCAAATTAAAATGTAAGTGGATTATCAAGAACAAAGAAGACTCTTTTCCTTACCTTTTCCACATCGCCCAGACCCTCAGTGTCCAGAAGGACCAGAGTATTGTTGGGCTTCAAGGGGTGTGGTACACACCACATCCAGATGCCCTTGGTTTCAGACCTCACTGTGGAGCCCAAAGAGAAACCTGCAAAGGAAGAGGAGAAAGCGTATATAGAGTAACAGCAGATAGTCCAGGCTGCCCATAGGTTACATTGGTTAAAACTATGGGAATGTGAGTGCTAGGGTGGGTGAAGTTTGCTTTCATTTCAGCAAGGACAGCCTATCCAACCTTTATCCATGTTATTGACCTTTATATTTTTTTCTGACACTAAAAAGCTCCCTTGTCCTTCAGATTCTGGTAGATTTCCACCAGTGGGAGGCGCCAGCATGAGACTAGAAGTCAGGCATATGTTCCCTTGCTTACCCCTTAGTGAGCCACAGTTTCCCAGTGCCTCAGTTCCTCTATGGTGGGTCACAGCCCTTTCATTTAATTTCATCCCAAAGTGCTGGTCTTTGCCACACTCTGGTTTCACTTTTTGCTTGTATATTCATGATATAGGAGTGACTATAGTTCCCTGGCCATTGCTATTGCCACCCTCTGGGTGCTTCCTCATCTCTAATTAGTTCTCTGTGACCTGCTTATACACTTACATGAATCCCTCTTTAAACACTCTTTAGTTACCCCGTGACAGGTTCTTTCGTGTCCTGCCAGGAACTGATAATCATCTTTCTTGAATTTTTTTCCCCTTTCACTCCTGCATTTTTCTCATTTCTTTTCATTTCTACAAGGAAATGAGAAGGGTTTTTTCACTGTGTCAGGTGGAAATGGAAGTGAAGGCAGAAAAGACCAGTGAAATGTGGTTGCTCTTCTTTCAAAGCCTTACTAGTAAACCTACAGGGGGGAGCATGTGAGGGATATGCCCAAGAACCTGTATGTGATATATCTTGTCCAACAGTTCAACATTGTTAACATCTGCCATAGGCCAATGTTTCCTTCAATGGGCACTAGAAATGGACATGATGGAAGGGGTAGGGGAGGTTGGTTCAGCTTCGCTCAGGCCATTCTATTTCTATACCCAGTGAGTTTTCCACAGAGAGGGTATAAAGCCTGAGATGGCCTGCATTCTTCTACATTGTGATAGAATTTGATTGCATGCTTATTAATACAGAGTAATCTGAACTCCCAGTTCTCCCAGTGAGAAAAGGTGGGTGTAATTGGAGATTATCATTCTTAGTTCTGAGTTAAAAATTCCTCAAAGAAAATTATCAACAAGGGGAGAGCTTAGTGATCTGGTCTTGCTCCTGTATCTTGATTGGACATGCAGTCTTCTTTTTTTTCCTTTTTTTCTGTTGTATGATTTGGGTGGTGGAGTAAAAATTCAGGTGTTGTTGTTTTTCCATTTACAGTTTACTTTCAACATTATTTTGTATGAGTTTTAGTTGTACAGCATAGTGGTTAGATAATCATATACTTTGCAAAGTGTTCCCACTGATATTACAAGGACCCATTTGGCACTATACATAGGTATTACAATATTATTGTCTATAACTATGTCGGTTAAAATATTTTGAGGGTTAGGACTTCCACAGTCAATGAAATATCAACTCATTATTGCCTGGTGTTGTCTTGAGTAGAATTAAAATGATGGTGTTGAAATTCCTCAAGAGGCATCTCTCTCTCTCTCTCTCTCTCTCTCTCTCTCTTTCGGTTCTCAAACCTTTTAATCCTTAAAAAGGCCTATCAGTTAATTTAAGATAGGCAAGGAAAAGTGTTCCCCGTGATGGGTGGCTCAGAATTTATTTACAACAAAGATCAAGACAAAATGTTTTGCTGGAAGCAAATTGAAAGATTGTGAAGCAAAAAGGAAAAGGGAAGAAAAGGGAGAGAAGGGGTGAGACTGAAAGAAAGAGACATAGTGACAATGTCTCCAAGACAATGAGAAATATTTCTAGGAATATTTGGAGTTCAGTGTATTGAAGTTTATGGCATAACTAGTGGCCTGATGCACAAAATTTATGCACACTAAAAGGGAATTAATTAGAGGAAATATTTTAACATTGCTATTTTCCCTTTCTCTATAACAGAAGTGTCAGAGATGAAAGAAAATTAGTAAAGTGTATATGAAAATCTTCCTCCTGTCAGATTCTGGGGCTTGCTGCAGTACCCAGAGTCAAATTCCTGCCCATCTTCTTAAGCTACAAAATCATGCGAGACCCACACCTGGCTGGCCCCACCACCAGTGGGTGAGATCCAGACCCGGCCGGCCTCACCCCCATCAACCTCTGCTGGGCAGAGGGGGCAGCCTCAGGTCCCCCATCAAGCCCCGCCAGGTGGGGGTGTGGCCTGAGGTCCCCTGGCAAGCACCGCCAGGCAGGTGGCACAGCCTCAGGCCCCCTGGCCTGAGGAGAAGGAGGCAGCCTGTGGGTTCCCAGCCCAGCTCTGGAGTGGAGGGCACAAGTAGAGGTCCTTTGAAAAGCCCGGCCTCACGTCTCCAGCCCAGGCCCGGCACCATGCAGCCTCAAGTCCCTGCTGATTGC